TCTTCAAACCCTTCAGATTGTTTTTCAGAGTCCATAGTCTCCCATGGTTCACCTCCCCTTCCAATTTCCCTCAACTCCCTTCTCCTCTCCATCTCCCCTTGTCCTCCATGTTATTTGTTATGCTCCACAAATAAGTGAAACCATATGATAATTGACTATCTCTGCTTGACTTATTTCACTCAGCATTATCTCTTCCAGTCCCGTCCATGTTGCTACAAAAGTTGGGTATTCTTCCTTTCTGATGGAAGCATAATACTCCATAGTGTGTATGGACCACATCTTCCTTATCCATTCGTCCGTTGAAGGGCATCTTGATTCTTTCCACAGTTTGGCAACCGTGGCCATTGCTGCTATAAACATTGGGGTACAGATGGCCCTTCTTTTCACTACCTCTGTATCTTTGGGGTAAACACCCAGTAGTGCAATTGCAGGGTCATAGGGAAACTCTATTTTTAATTTCTTGAGGAATCTCCACACTGTTTTCCAAAGTGGCTGCACCAACTTGCATTCCCACCAACAGTCTAAGAGGGTTCCCCTTTCTCCACATCCTCTCCAACACATGTTGTTTCCTGTCTTGCTAATTTTGGCCATTTTAAGTGGTGTAAGGTGGTATCTCAATGTGGTTTTAATTTGAATCTCCATGATGGCTAGTGATGATGAACACTTTTTCATGTGTCTGATAGCCATTTGTATGTCTTCATTGGAGAAGTTTCTGTCCATATCTTCTGCCCATTTTTTGATATGATTGTCTGTTTTGTATGTGTTGAGTTTGAGGAGTTCTTTATAGATCCTGGATATCAACCTTTTGTCTTTACTGTCATTTGCAAATATCCTCTATTTGCAAATGACAGTACAGACAAAAGTTCAAAGTCTTCTTACCAGAATAATAAATGATACAAATACTCTTTACAAAAATTTTGTGTATAAGTTAAATAATCTCTTCAACACTAGTTTCATAAGAATTTTATTCTAAAATCTCTAACATCTAATTGAAGTAGGTATAGATATATTTTATATATTTATACACATGCATACATGTATTTGTATACTTAAATACATGGACTATTAAGAATTTCTCAAGGTAATAAAGAAAAATAAACATGATTGATTTTGTACAAAATTTCTAATCCAATTCTAAACTTACCTAAACTTCATTGTTTTTACATGCCATTGCCAGAAACAGATTGTTCCATCAGCACCAGTAGAAGTGAGGTATCTGGTTGTGCCTTTAGTTGATGGACAAAACTAAAAAAAAAAAAAAAAAAAAAAACAAAAGAAATCTAATTCAAATAGAAAGCTTTCATGTTCAAATTTATTTTAAACACAGCATGTTCTAAAATTATAATCATTTAAAAAATAATTTAAATAAATTCAATCAAGAATTTCACTTTCAAGAAATCAGTTAAATTTCCTAGATTAATGGATACCTTAAAAAAATTGAAAATATCAAGAAACTGTAGAAAAAAAAGTCAGTCAACAAATTTAGGATTAAATATATTAGTCTTAAAAATAATTACTTTTAGGGGTCCCTGGGTGGCTCAATCAATAGAGCATGCAACTCTTGATCTCAGGGTTATGAATGTAGAGATTACCTAAAAATAAAATCTCAAATAACTATTTTAAAGTACTGAATATCACACTTTAAGATTACTATTTCATTACTTCTAATGGAGAAAAAAAAATCACAAGGTGGTTACTAGGTAAAACATTACAAATCTGCTAAATATATGTTTAACAGCAATGATTGTGGAATTTTTATAGCTTTTATGACCACAGCACCAGAAACCATTCTAAAGTCAATGCTTAGGAAGTTACTATCTTTTGGTATTAATGCTTAACTTTAAATTCTAGCTTCAATGACATATGATATAAATTTTGTCCTTTTTAAATTTAAATCATTTTCATTTGTTATAATAGAATAAGTAGAATGGTCAAATCACTATATCATTGTGGGAAAAACAGATTAAAAAATATACTTAAGTTGCCAATTTAAAGGATGACTAATACCCTAGATGAAACATGAACAGCCTTATCATATAGGATTCTCAAGCTCTGACTCTCAGTATTTTATACATCCTCAGAAAAGAATCACAGATAAGGGAAGAGCCATTGGTCTCCTGATGCCTGAAATACAGGAAAAAGCTGAAAATCAAACCAGGGTCCCTGCATGCCATGCATTTTAAAAATCCCAAATACAGATAATCAACACCACTAAGATAAATATTAAGAATCAAGATGCATAGGGTTTGAATAAATTTTGACCACAAATCTGAAGAAAATGATCACTACAGATTAGAAGTCATTTATACAGTTTTCTTGATTGGAGACACATAACTTTTTAAAGACTAGAGCTTAAATAAAAAAATTATCAATTAATGTTATCCATTAATAATTGATAATATAGTAAAGAAACCAGTACTCAGGTAGCATGCCTACACTTTCCTTTCTGAGATAGAGAAGCTAGCACTGGAAAACTTAATCCACAATTTATAGGCAGAATCTGCAAGCTACAGCCCACAGGCCAATTCCAGCTTGCTGCGTATTTCTGTAAATGAAGTTTTACTGGAACAAATTCACCTTACACTGCCTATGGCTACTTTTGCACTGGAATGCAGAGTTAAGTAGGTGTGACAGAGACCATATGGCCTGCAAATCCTAAAATATTTACCTATCAGATCTGTAAATTTGCTGATCCCTGATTTATACAAATGAGATAAATATAAAACTCTATAATTTTATTAAGTTTGAAGAAACACTAGAACCTTTATTATCACCATTATATTTAAATAAATTCATCAGTCACAAAGGGGCATCTGGCCCATTAACGTAGTCTAATTGAATTGTTTTTAAATAATAAATCGTGTTAGAGATTATAAAACATTTGTATTTGTATTTCTTAATATAAATTAGTATATCATTATTGAAGAAAATTTAGTAAATACAGAAAACAATAAAAAGTACTTATAATCCCACCATGCAGAGGCAACCACTATTGAAATCATACCATTTTATCTCAATTTTGCTTACAAAAAAGAATCTGGAAAGATGAACACCATGATGTTAAGAGAGACAGTTAATTAGTCCAGAATAAGTAACACATATAGAATGCTAAATAAAATTAAGAGGAGATAAAGAGTGCTGGTACAAGGAACAACTTAAAATTTTAGAATGGTGAAATGGTCAGAGAAAGTCTCCCTGAGAAAGACAATTTGCACAAGGTGGTTAGAAAGGGAAGGAATAAGCCATGTGACTATGCAAGGAAGAGCCATTCCACCGCCATGAAATAGAAAAAGCAAAGGCAGCAGTGTAGATAGAGTGGTCTAAAAAAGCAGAGAGGTAGCAGCTAAAGCAGAATGGAAATGGGAAACAAGTAGTAGACAATGAGTTCCAAGAGAGAAAGGGGTTGAGAATATAGGCCTTACAATGTGGGTCATTTAGACTTCCACTTAAATCTGAATTTGGAAGCTACTGAAGTTTCTGAGTACCAGTGACATGATTTAACTTCCATTTAAAAAATCACTCAGCTTGCTATGCAGAGGTTAGACTGGGGCAAGAAAGAGGGAAGGGAAGAAGCAGGAAGATCAGTTAGATGTCTGTCTCAATAATCTAGGTTACCAATGATAATGGTTTGAAATGGAATAGTAATGATTAAGGTCATGATAATTTGTCAGATTCTGGATTTATTCTGAGGGTAGAGCCAACATGATATGCTAACAAGTTAGATATGAGATATAAGAGAAAGAAAAAAAGTCAGGGATGACTACTCTGAGCAACTGAAAGGATAAAATTACCATATGTTGAGTTGAAGAAAGCTCTTGGAAAAGCAGATTTGAGGAAGGAAGACAGAAGTTCAATTTTGAATATGTTGAGTATGAGATTCATGACATTTATGTGATGGTACCAAGTAGGTATTTGAATATATAAGCATGGAACGAAAAGAAAGGTCCCAAAATAAAAATATAAGTTTGAAAATCATCAGCCTACAGATAAACCTAAAGCCATGAAACTTAATGAGATCACTAAGAGAAAGAATGTGATAGAGATCCATGGATCTTTAGGGAGTTCCCACGTATAAATGAAATGAGATAGAAAGTAGAAAATGAAACTATGAAGGAGCCAAACAGTATCATAAACATTTTTCAATATAAGCAGTTATTTTTTTATGTTATATGAGAGTTGCTTCCAAATTCCAGAAATAATCTGTCAGATAAGTTGGTAGAAATACAAATAACTAATCACCTAAAACAAAGTCCATGAAATAATTTCCATTGATCAAAAATTTGATACAAAATTTTAAAAATCTAATATACATTAAACCTAATTCATGAGGCGCCTGGGTGGCTCAGTCGGTTAAGCAGCTGCCTTCAGCTCAGTTCATGATCCCCGAGTCCTGGGATCAAGCCCCAGGTTGGGCTCCCTGCTCAGCAGAGAGCCTGCTTCTCCCTCTCCTTCTGCCTGGCACTCTGCCTACTTGTGTGCGCTCTCTTTATCAAGTAAATAAATAAAATCTTAAAAAAAAATCTAACTCCTCATAAACAGGTGATATTAAATTAAATAATACACAAAAATTAATGGACATACTTTCTAGTGACTAAAGAACAAAGAAAAGTAAATGGGAGTAATTATCTCATCCACAAAAGTAGTCTCCTTGACCACAGTATAAAATACAGTTTCAGGATTCCCTTTTGCTCTCAACACAAAGAAGAGAACAAGTTCAACTTAGTTTTCTTAAATAAAAGGTTTTTTTGGAGGTATCCAGGATTTTCACTATCAACATTTAGTAAAAACACTCTGTGAACAAGAATTGAAAAGAAGTCAATGCATTTTATGTCAAACATCAAGCTGAAACAGGAAATCACTGAAACGAAGAATAAAATTTTCTTTAACATTAAACCAAACACACACAATCTGACTGACAAACATCTTGCATTAAATATTAACACAAAGTATGCCAATATTCAAATTAGAACCTGTTTCCAACCTAACAGGTATCAGTGTTGCTTCCTTACAGTATTTATAAGTCTTCTCCCTTCTTCACAAATACTAGTCAGATAAATGTCTTGCACTATATTTGGAAAATTTATTCAGTGATTTTTGAATTATCTCTAAAACAATAAATTTATATGAAAAAGGAATTTAAAAAATACCAGAGAAAGGTAGGGCAAAGCCCTTAGAGATCACTTTTCTGTTGCCATTCTTTATAATAATATCCACACAAAATAACAAAAACTGAGAGAATTTTCATCGTCATTACATAGGTAGTGATACCTTTTCATTTTTCTTACCTGTATGGAAGTAATAGAAGCTGAATGTCCCTGAAGGACTGCAACTGGTGCACAAGTTCGAAGACACCACACTCTTACAACCTTATCACAGCTGCCTGCAGCAATAAGAGTGTTTTCATAGTTAACAGCCATATCAGAAATTTCAGCAGAGTGCCCTCGGAGTGTAGCAAGGAGACGTCCATCATCCGTTGCCCAAATTTTCACCAAACAGTCATCTGAACCCTATAGTAACACAGAAGGACAGATTCCCAATGAAGCAAAAATTTGCACCACCACCCCCCTTCCTGGAAAAAAAGCCAAAATGACAAAGGGAGGATTTTTTTTTTAAGATTTTATTTATTTATTTGACAGAGAGAGAGAGAGAGAGAGAGAGATCACACATAGGCACAGAGAAAAACAGAGACAGAGGGAAGCAGGCTCCCTGCTGAGCAGAGAGCCGAATGTGGGGCTCCATCCCAGGACCCTGAGATCATGACCTGAGTGAAGGCAGAGGCTTAACCCACTGAGCCACCCAGGTTCCCCAAAGGGAGGATTTTTATTAAGTTACTTCTAAGCCTTTACTTTCTAATCTCCTCTGCCCATATAATATTGATCCAGGAAGAAATATAAATGATCTCCAAATGACAGCACTGACAAAGCATTATGTAAACTGATGAAATTTGTGAAGAACTCCCCAAAACTACCAATCCTGACAACTCAAACATTTAAAACTCACTTTAAGTGATTTGGCATTAAATATATCTGCCATTATTTCTTTTTTATAAGATTTTATTTATTTATTTGACAGAGAGAGAGAAATCACAAGTAGGCAGAGAGGCAGGCAGGGGGAAGGGGGTAAGCAGGCTTCCCGCTGAGCAGAGAGCCCGATGCGGGGCTCGATCCCAGGACGCTGGGATCATGACCTGAGCCAAAGGCAGAGGCTTAACCCACTGAGCCACCCAGGCACCCCTGCCATTATTTCTTTCCTTATGCCTGACAGCGTTTTATCATGATTCCTTGAATATTTTTCTACAAATATTTAAAAATTTAGCCTAAACTCTACATGCATTTCTCAATAACTTGAGTCCTTGTTAATAAACTCTGCTGAAAATGTTAAGTTGAACTTCCTATTGATAATTTCAAAAGAGCTTTAAAAATAGTAAAAAGCAATTCTACTCCAATGTAGTAAATAAGTTAGTTCATAATTATTGGTTTATAAAAAGATAACGGGACACCTGGGTGGCACAGCCAGTTAAATGTCAGACTTCAACTCAGGTCATGATCCCAGGGCCCTGAGATCTAGCCCAGAGCCCCAGTCAGAGCCCCAGGTCAGGCTCCCTGCTCAGCGGGAAGTCTGCTTCTCCCTCTGCCCCCACCCCCACCACCCCTGCTCATGCTCTCTTTCCCTCTCTCTCTCAAATAAATAAATAAAACCTTTAAAAAATAAAAAAATAAAAAGATAGCAATTGTCATTCTCGTCATGATCATTAACATCTAAATACTTAGGTGATGCATTTGGAGTTATGAAAATGTCAATGGAAGAGTCTTTAATGAACTCCAAGGAGTCATAAGTTCCCAAAATGCAAACTATTTCATTTACCATAGCACAGAAAGTTAAAAAGAAAATTATGACACTAAATACATTTCTATGTTAACTTACTACTAAAATAGTGAGACTAAAACCCTTCTTAGAAATATTAGCATGCTACAATTTTGTACTCAAAAGCCCACAATATTATCTGGTTAATAAAATGCTAAGCGAAGTAAGTCAGTCAGAGAAAGACAAATACCATATGATTTCACTCATATGTGGAATTTAAGAAACAAAACAAATGAGCAAAGGGGAAAAAAGGAGAGAGAGAGGCAAACCAAGAAAGACTCTTAACTATAGAGAACAAACCTATGGCTACCAGAGGGGAGGCGGGTCTGGGGAAGAGGTAAAATACATGACCAGGATTAAGGAGTGTGCTTGCTGTGATGAGCACCAGGTGATGTATGGAAGCGCCGAATCGCTATATCGTACACCTGAAACTAATATTACACTGTATGGAAACTAACTGGAATTTAAATAAAACTTTAAAAACCCAGATTTAAGGATGCCTGGGTGTTTCAGTTGGTCGAGCATCCAAGTCTTGATCTCAGTTCAAGTCTTGATCTCAGTTCAGGTCTTAATCTCAGGATCATGAGTTCAAACCCCATGTGCAAAATTTTTTAAAAAATTAGTGTTGGGGCACTTGGGTGGCTCAGTCAGTTAAGCATCTACCTTTGGCTCAGGTCATGATCTCAGGGTCCTGGAATTGAGCCCAGAGATGGGGTCCTTACTCAGGCAGGAGTATGCGTCTCCCTCTGACCCTTCCCCCTGACTCTCTCTCCCAGAAAAATAGATGAAATCTTAAAAAAAATTATTAGTACTGAAATAAAAGAAAGATATACACAAAAAATGTAATTTTGGTTACAAACTGTGTATGGAGTACAATTACTCAACCATAAGAATGACATAATCATTTTAATTAAGCAGAAAAGGTACCAATTACACTAAGTGACAAATGCAAAATGCATTTTAATAAATGTTTGCTAAAATGAAATAGAATGGAGTAGATAAATTTGTTTCACACAAATTAACCTCTAGAATATAAGGCCTTCTTAAGATTTAATTTTTTAAATTAGATTTCCCAAAACATAGAGGACATTATAGTTCACCCATTTATTTATATAGAATGAGAAAAGATTTTCAATTTCTTTTTTTAAGTTACATATTTCTTCCCTTTTTTTAGATTTTACTTAAATTCAAATTAGTTAACATATAATGTATTATTAGTTTCAGAGGTAGAATTTGGCGATTCATCAGTTGCATATAATACCCAGTGCTCACTATATCAAGTTCCCTCCTTAATGTCCCTCATCCAATTATCCATCCCCCACCCACCTCCCCTCCAGCAACGCTGTTTGTAAATTCATCTTTTTACTCATCTTTGTACTCATCTTTCCTTGCATTCATGTGTCTAAGAAGGATGAATTGCTTACAAAGTATAATTCAATACCATTAAGCCTACTTTCAACTGTAGTAAATCGCAAACATGCTACAGTATCATTAATTTTAAACTCACTGTAAAAATTCTTCTCCCACTTCGGTCAAATGCTACACAATAGACAGATGACAAGTGCCCCAGAATTCTCTTATGCATCTTAATGTGCTGGTAAGCAGATGAAGGGAAAATATGGCTGAAGCGACTGCATCCAGTTAATTGCCGGGCAGAGGTGATATTCACTGAAAAATAGAATAGAAGATTCCTTCTTAAAACTTAAAAGCAAAACGTAATTCATAAAGTCAAATCGTAAGTATTAAGATGAGGTAAAATAGGGTACAAACACCATAGCAATTTTACCCTGTGAAAAGCCTAAATTCCATTATACATTTCATGATTTTATGAATTCAAGTTTACTACCACAAAGCACTATGAATACTCTTCTTTTAAATCCCGTAAGTCTGTTTCTGTTTGCCTTACTATGGGTTCTCAAGTACATTCTTGTTTTACCTTTCTTGGTAAACTACAGTCAAAGACACTGTCACTTTAAATATATAGGTAAATCTTACCATAACATAAAGGAATTTTAGAATAGAGACTATATTTGATTAAATAAATACATTTTAAAAGTTACATAGGGAACTGTATGAACTCCTATCCTACCTCCTCAAACCTATTCACTTCATAAGCAGCTACACAGCTGTCTCTAAACTTTCAAGATTAATAGACTTACACAGTGGGACGCCTAGGTGACTCAGTCAGTTAAGCATCTGCCTTTGGCTCAAGTTATGATCCCAGGGTCCCAGGACGGAGTCCTGCATCGGGCACCCTGCTCAGTGAGGAGCCTGCTTCTCCCTCTGCCTGCTCTGCCTGCTGCTCCCCCTGCTTGTGCTCTCTTTCTGACAAATACATACATAAAATCTTAAAAAAAAAAACAGACTTATACAGTGAAAAAAGAAAGGAAGCTATGATAATACATTAAGTTTTCAGTAACAAACAATCCTTTCTAAGTTTGTATATAGGTTCTCCATTTTTTGGTTTCTGAAACAGTAGACTCTCCACTAGTTACCAATAAATTTTTGAAACTGCATCTCCTATATAAAGTCATCATAGTTCTTTTTGTTTGTTGTTTTGCCTTATTAATTTCCTTTAAAAAAAACAGACAGAATAAACCAGAAGTCTGTCCAGTTCTCTTTCAAATGCCACCTGGATTCTTCTCACTTACCTAAAATGGAGATCTTAATCCCCATGTAAGGATTTACAAGCACCCGCTTGCTCTGTGAAATTCCTCCAGTCTTCCCTTATACACTAAAAATATTTAACATCCCATACATTATATTTTAATCAAAACATAAGATCCTTATAAGCGCAAAGTCACCTTGAAGCAACATAACATTTTACCATAGTGCATAAATAATATAGTACAGATGGTAACAGCTTTATGTTGAAGTAAGGCAAAATTAAGGCAAGAATGGGTTTGTAGCTAGATTAAAACAATTAGAACTATGCCACAATAGGGGTGCCTGGGTGGTTCAGTGGGTTAATCCTCTGCCTTCGGCTCAGGTCATGATCTCAGGGTCCTGGGATTGAGCCCCAGATCGGGCTCTCTGCTCAGCAGGGAGTCTACTTCCGCCTCTCTTTCTGCCTGCCTCTCCACCTACTTGTGATCTCTCTCTCTGTCAAATAAATAAATAAAAATCTTTAAAAAAATGTCAGGGTCATGTTAAAAAAAATGCCACAATAAAAAATATGAAGCTTTCACACATCTCAATCTTAAAAGCAATGGAGTCTTTTTTTTTTTTTTTTCAGGCAAAGGCAGATCCACTGGCCATTTTAAATTCAAAAAATGACAAAAAATGAATGATGAATAGCAAAACCAATGAGACTTTGAATGCAAAACAATAGAGATCTGAGGATTTATAGAACACTGTGAGATGCTGAGTAAATAATGGTAGAAAACCCACAAGCATCACTACTACCAGCTCAGAGGATTTCTTTTTGGCACCTCTCCCCATCCCAACCCCTAGAAATTTTCACAACTCTAAGATGGAAAGAGCAGACACCATTAACTTTGGGACTTAGTAATCTTCCTTCACCAGTCAAACATTTCTTACTGCTCTTAGTTCCTTAAAACAATCAACCATCACTTCTGTTTTGCCTTTTTTCTATCCATACTTTTCAAATAGATAGAAGAAAAGGTGTGTTACTTTAAGGCAGGGTTTTTCAGCCTCAGCAATACTGGCACTTTGGGCCTGATGAAACTTCACTGTGTGGGGCCTGTCTACTGAAAAGTATTCCTTAGCCTCTACCCACTGGATTTTAGTAGAACCCTACCACCATTAAGCTGTGACAAGGAAAAATATCTCTAGACATTGCCAAATGTCTACTGGTGGTAATAAACAAAAACAAAAAACATGACAACTGTCCCCAGTTAAAAAACACTACTTAAAGTAGAAAAACAAAAAACAATATCAATAGGAATAAAAATAATCAGAAAAGCAACTCTAAGAAGAAAAGCAGAAACATAAGGAAAAAGAAGTAGTAAAAGACACAGGGGAGAGATAAAGAGCTACCAGAAAGCTACCAGAAATCATTCCTCTAATAAATACCTATGTTTTTTGAAGGCCAAAGGAATACAACTAAGCATATAAACAATATATTCTTAACCCCACTAAGAGATCCCATTAGCACCACAGGCCAAAACTGTTAAATCAAAAAAAATGACTAAAAACTTTATGCATCATTACAGTCTATACAAATTAGCTTCTACTTTTTAAGACTCCTTTACAAAGAAAACTATTAATTGAAAAAAAATGGAAAATATATCCAACAAATATGACAAAATCTTAATATTTTAAAACACATATAAAACTAGCCATCTATAAGAATACCACTAAGGGGGCTCCTAAGTAGCTCAGGTCCTGATCCCAGAATCCTGGGACAGAGTCCCACATCGGGCTTCTAGCTCAGCAGGGAGCCTGCTTCTCCCTCTCCCTCTGACCGCCCCACCTTGATCTCTTTCTCAACTCAGCTCTCTCTAATAAATAAATAGAATCTTTAAAAAAGATTCCACTAAGATCTAATAGATGAACGGATAAAAGGAAATTAACAGGTAAGTCACAATATAGGAAATACAAATAAACAGAATCATAGAATATATTTAACTATTTTGCCAACTTTCAAAAGAAATTTAAATGAAAATAATGAAATACAGTACTATACCTAATAAATTAGCATTTTAAAAATTATAAAACCTAAGGCCAGCAATTACTACTTGAAACTGTTATATGCCTACATTTCTAGATAGACCATAAAGTGACATGATCCATTTGGAAAATAATTTTGGCAATACACCTCAAGAGTCATGAAAATATACACACTCATTGCCCAACCCTTAAGAATCTATTCTAGTGACACAACTTATTAGCAAAAATGAGTTACATGCACAAATGTTTAATGAAGTACTACTTATAATACCAAAGAATGATAAATAACCTAAGTCCAACAAGGGGGAATGGTTGATCAAATTACAGAATATGTGATGGACTATTCTATAGAAATTAACAATTAAAATACAAAACTACAGCACTGTGGAAAAATTTAGGAACTACAAAGCACAAAATATAAAATGCAACCTTACAAGTATACTATGATTTAAATTATGGGAAAATATGCATACATACATAATAAAGGCTAAAAGAAACAAAGGAAATGAAACCAACTGCTTTGTGATTAAACTATAGGTAAATTTTTAAAATTTCACCTAACACACTTAACAATACATTTTTAACTTAAACACAATTTTTCTATTGGGTTCTTCCTACTTACTGTTAATAGCTATTCAAAAAATTTCTAATATAAGGTACATTGTATATTTGACAGCAGCAGCATCAAATATTCCTTCTTTCCAATCTCAGTGATTTTTTGTTTATTCATCTAGCACCTGAGATGCTAATATTTATGTATTTTCTGTTATTTGATATCAACAGGGCTTAGGCTCTATATACACTAAGGAGTTCACTCTTTTTTGCATTCATTGTCCATTTAACCAGTATTTTTCACAATTGCTGCTTTCTGTTTTTCTTATATATTTACAGAGCACTTTATCAAAAACATTTTCCTCAATTGTTAATGGCTGATAACTGACTACAAAGATACAAGAGTTCACTTTTAACCAACTCTTGAGTATTTTACTAAGAAGAATTGGGTCTCATTCTTCTAAGCCTGAATATTATTCATGTTCCCTTTAAGAGAGAAGAATGCTCAAAGTCATTATTCTTTTGTTCAAAATTAACAATAAAATAAATGACACACATAAACACACACACAATTATCACTGTCCTGTATCTGAATGTTTCTACCTAATATACTATTTCGGTGAATTTTTTTCTATTTTAAGTATAATGCAAGTTGAAAGATAAGCAATTTAAAATTTAAAATTTAAAAATTCTCACAATCCTATGCCAATATATCCACTATAATGTCATTACTGCATTCTCACTATTAAGCCTTCCTAGTAAATCTATAGGTTCTTCCCCTATATGCTAATTGGGACTTTAAAGGTGTTTTGTGGTAATCCTTTATGGGTTGAGCTGAATGAAACTTGGTATTTGACTACTTTCTACATAAAAAATAGTGATTTTAGATGGCTCAGTGTAATACCTATAATTGGAGTGCAGGGATGGGCAGACATCAAGCTTTAGTTTGATGTAGGTATCTTGCCCTCTTTACTTCTCCATTAGGAAAGCATCATCTACACACTGTCAGGTCTATAGTATCATCCCATATAGATTTCTCATTCCTTTTATCTCTACTTTTTCATAGTATAGTCACATTTATACCATTTCAAGTTTGTATCTCCTTATGTGAAATTTTCTAATTCACTTTCTTGCATTATACCTAGTAATTATAAATACTCTGTCTAACCTAATGTTTTCTCTTGTGACTTACTGGTCACTTCCACCTTTGTGGATCTTTTCCCTATGTTAACAGGCACAAATGTATTTCATCATGCCATTTTCTTAAAAACTGGGTAATTTTATAAGTGTCCCTAACAAGCAGTAAAATTAACTTATTTCAGTTTAATTTTCTATGCTTCCTCAACATCAATTAGAAGTGCTAGTGAATAGGGGCACCTGGGTGGCTCAGTGGGTTAAGCCTCTGCCTTCGGCTTGGGTCATGATCCCAGGGTCCTGGAATTGAGCCCTGCATTGGACTCTCCACTCAGTGGGGAGCTTGCTTC